AAAACCCTATTATAGTGCTGAAATGCTGATCTTTTCAAAGAAGTACATCTATGGTAGCATCAAGCGTGTTTGTAATGATGGCTGTACATTACAGAACTCGCAGCGCAGTTAAATGGTTCACCAGAAAAGTTACATCCGAAAGATCAGGAAATCCTATAAAGAGCATCCGATTTATATTTCAATTGCAAAACAGTATTATCTTTATAGACACAGAAAAGGTGATTTAAAAATCAACTCAAAATGAAAATAGCTTTTTCTCTTTGGGAGGGAGGGGGTAAAATATGGACCTTCCAAAAAAAAAAACTAAAGCGATTTGTAAATCCAAAGGAGATTTTCATGCACTAGAGTTTTGGGTGCAAAATCATCCCTCATAAGCAATGAAATTGACTGCAGCAGTGCCATTAGGTAACCTAAAAGTATTCAAGGATGAATGTTATTTTGGCAACCAAGACCATAAACTTAGCACCGCTCCAAACTGAAGAGAGCATGGCAGGGAGGATCTTGCATTCAGTCTGCAGCAAACGTTTTCCGCATCGGAGACCACTCAGAAATGAAATGGATACAGTTCAGCGCTCTTTATATTACTGTAGCTTGTTTCTGTACCGTTACAGACCTGAACAGCATATGCACCTTTAATAATATAGGCAGATATTTGTGTCGTAAAGCAGTCTTGCCATTTATAGTTCAAATTATATGCTCGATCACATGCGTACTTGTAGTTCCCGGACAGAGCCTGTAGCTTCAACAGCTCCTTGAAGTGTTTGAATCATTGAGAGCGTAAAGCCTTTCAAGCCTCTAAACGGGTAAACCTCGCAAACCCTGTCAAGAACATACTATAATTTAAGACCATTGAGATTTTCTGGCATTACATTCATGATGATAATTTATTACACAACAGATGTCAGGTGTATTGCCTGGTCAATTTAGATCAAAACAACAGCACCACAAACAAAATAAAAAAACATATCACGTGTATTACGGTAAGGAGAAATAGGGGGAAAAAATTTATCAGGTGCATTATTCTAATGTATAGTATGAGAATTTAAGAAAAATGCCACAAAAAGAGGTGTATTAGGGTAATGACAATTGGCAAGAAACGCAAAGAAAAAAATATCAGGTGTATTAGGGTAATGAGAATTGAGGAAGAAAAAAAAGGGTGCATTACAGTAATTGAGGGGAAATGCACAAAACATTGAGGTGCATTAGGGTAGTGACAATTGGCAAGAAATGCAAAAAAAATATCAAGTGAATTAGGGTAATGACAACTGAGGGAAAACGCACAAAAAAAAAACAAACAAAAAAAAACCCCGAGGTACATTAGGGTAATGAGGATTGGGGGAAAACGCAAAAAAACAACAACAACCCCCCCCCCCCCCCCCCCCCCC